GATTCAAGAAAAGCTCATCCTTGTAAAGTGTTTAGCTTTATGTGCGGACTCAATACACCAGCATTAAAATATGTATAGTATTGGAGTATTTTAATAATGTTCAATGAAACTTGACTAGTTAAGTGTTGTCTTAACTAGTTAACTGTTGTCAGTGTTAATAGCAGTAATTAAAAAAAAAATGCTTGGGCTGGGGAGGTGAGAGACATATCATTTGCACAAACATGAAGACCTGAGTTTGGACCCCAGCTCCCAGGTTAAAAGCTGGGTATGGTTGAAGGCACCTGTAACTGGAGCTCATGGAGTGAGTCAGGGCCAGAGACAGGAGGGCTGCTGTCTGGCTGCTAGCCGAGATCCAGGTTCAAGAGAGTAAGAGTGATAGAACAAGACACTCATCCCTCTTCTGGAACATGGGGAGGTGTTGGGAGGTGGAGCAGGGATTAGACTGTGGTGTTAGTGTAACATTTATGTTGTGAAAACAAAGACCTTAATGTGAAGTTTTGAATTTTTTAGGAGTTTGAATGATGGATTTCTCTTCCAGTAGTTATTCCTTTAAAGTGTTGAAACGTTTTATGAGCCAGGTAAACACAATAGTAGGTTTGATTTTAAACTAATCTGTTGGATTATGTTTTTATCATCTTGTTTCTTGTGTTGTGGAAATGTCTGAAACAAGATTTTGAATTATCTTGCTTTCTTTTCCTTTGGTTTCTTTATTTAAAATTGTATTTTATAGAATTTTAGCATAAGTAGTGATTTGATTTCCAAATTAGCCAATGAGTTTTGCTTAATTCCTGAGGTAGCTAAATCACCTAGTTTGTATATCTGCCACAAAGATAATGAAACTTACTGTAATTGCACTGTTAATTAAACAGTATAATTGCAACATTATAAGTTTATAAAAACTATATTGGATAGTTTAGAAACTCTAGGGCAATGTAGTTTTAGGAGGTGAGGAGATAGCCATCCGTTGTGGAGGCTGTAGGACCTGTGTTGTCCACAGGGGATAAACTTAGTGCTTGGAATTTTGTGTGATGTGATACATTGCTAGCTTTGTTCATGGATGGATCTAAGTGAAGGGGATAAGGAGGAAGGACTTTTAAAAATATATAAATTATGCTTAAAGTTTTAGTTTCTATTAAAAGTTGTGAAGAATCTAAAAAATGTTTGGGTTAAAGAGGACATGGTATAGTTTTGCAAAAGAAGTGATCTGGGAGACACAGAGGCCATTGTGTGTCCATCCTATGGGGAAGGAAGGAAGTGCCAGCTGACAAGTCAGTTGTGTTTGTATTATTTTAGAACAAAGTATGAGAAGTGTGTTGGTGAGTAATGGGTAGGCCTGACTAGCTTTTCTTAGGTCAGGAAAGCTTCTAAATTGTCCTTTGTAAAGTGACTCTAAGCTTTGCATTGTCTTTTAAGATATTTGCAAGTTCCCTGGGATTAGTTGTGAGTAGAAGGGTAGCAGTGGTTAGGTAATGGAGTCTTGTGAGGGAAATGATCCACAGGGAAGGTTGACTCAGCCTTATGCATGTGTCTCTGTCAAAGGATGAGATGTAGGTGTCTTGCCTCTTGGTACAAGGTTATTCTATATAAATAGCTAGTATTATGCAACTATTGGTATCAAGGGTATGCCAGGGACAGAACACTGCTGTTATATCATAGATACATTTAATTTCCACTTAGCTGAAGAGTGGGGGGGAAACTACAAGCCCACAAAACTAGTATGGGGGGCATACTTAGTAGCGTTCTTGATGGTGGAAATCAGTTTTGACGAATGTATCTAAAGGAGTGTCTTGGAAGCCTCTTGTGAGGACTAATCTTAAGAAGTTGTCTTTTGACAACTTTATCACCAGTTTTGTTTTTCCCGCTCAGAAGTTCTAGCTCCTGGGTGGGGATAATGGAATACCACTCTCTTCAGTTCTTAGGACTTGTAATTTTGTTTGATGCAGATATATTGCTAACTTTGGTTCATGGATAGGAACTCAGTAAAGAGGATGAGGAGGAAGGAATTTAAACAGTATATAAAATGTGCTTAAAGTTTCAGTTTGTTGGGGGCTGGAGAGATGACTCAGAGTTTAAGAACACTAGCTGCTCTTCCCAAGGTCCTGAGTTCAATCCCCAGCAACCACATGGTGGCTCACAACTGTCTATGATGAGATCTGGTACCCTCTTCTGGCCTGCAGGCATACATGCAGGCAGAATGCTGTATACATAATGAATGAATGAGTGAATGAATGAATCTTTTAAAAAGTTTGTTTTAACAGTTGGAAAGAATCTAAAATATTTGGGTTAAGGAAGACATGGCATAGTTCTACAAAAGAGGTGGTCAGAGATGGAGTTTCCATATTAATGGATATTTTTATGTTTGAAATAGTGGGATAATATACTTTTCTGTGGATATATGGTATTTAGTCTGTTCTGTGATAGATACTTGAGTTTTCATCATTATAATAGTGTGATGGGCTTCCTTGTACCTAATCTTGCTTAAACATTTATTGAGTGTCCTGTGTGTGTTTAAGTGGACCTGGTCTGTAAAGACAAAGAAATCTCTGCTTTCAAAGTCTAAGATAAACTTTTGAGATGTAAATTTGTCATCAGAATTGTGAATTGGTGATATGATAATCCATTATTTTCTGTTTAAAGTAGCAGTAGGAATATGAATTAAGACTCCAATGTGCTATTGCTCACAACTCTGTCATCCTTTTCTCTATGTACTTCCTAAATTTTACTAATGCAAATTTTTGTGGATTTTACTCGACTGTATAATCTCAATGATGAGAAAGATAAAACTGAATTGTTTCTAGGTCAGCTGGAAAGTTGCATTTATAGCAAAATATTCTATGATTATGGCATTTCTATAATCTGTAATTACCGTGTATGTACCTTTATAGAAGGAACACTACAAATCTAGATTTGATGATATATGTTTGTGGTCCCAAACATGGGCTGGGGAGGCTTTCTAGTGCTTTGCAGTTTGGGAGTCTTGAGTCTGAGGCCAGCCTGGGCTACATAGCAAAATCTGTGAAAACAAACACAAACAAATGAATAGACATGAGACATAAAACAAAAATGATTGAGATATGAGAATAAAAAATGATTCAGTGAAATTTTGTGTCTTAATGAATATATGGACACGAGTAATTCCTAATATTACATTTGCAATTAAGAGAATTTTCTAAAGAGAATTTATATTATACTAGTGGTTTATGGTTGTTAATAGTAGATCTCTAGTTAGGTACTGAGCCAATACCTAGTAATGTGTGAGGTAGTGGTCTCTTTCAGAAATAATCTGGCTTAACTTTCATAGTCTTAGGAATGATGTGAAAATACTTTCTATAGTCTTTAACCTTTGTTCCCAAATATGAGACAGCTCATTATTTATTTTGGTGCTGTGGTCTGAATTTAGGGTCTTGCATATGCTAGTAAAGTGCTCTACCACTGATGTGTGTTCTCAGCCCTGCTCATTTCTTCCTGTAAGTATCACACAGAAGGATGTATCATTTGGAATGAGTAGAATTGAGGCCAAAAATTATACTTCAGCAAGTTGTTTCAAAACCCAAGTATTAGTATATTTAGAGGAATTCATGAATGCTAATTTCTAAATAACTTTCTGTTATCTCTCTACATAGAGCTGTTTTTCACATGATCAATTATTTGTAGTAAATTCTATCCTTTGAAGCCTACAGCTACAGTGTACTCATATACATACAATAAATAAATCTTTTAAAAAAAAAAAGAAACTTCAAAGCTCCATCCTCAGTGACACACCTCCTCCAACAAGGCCACACCATCTCATCCTTGCCTAACAGTCCCACCAACTGGGGATCCAGTATTCAAACACAAGTCTATGGGGGTCCATTCTCAGTCAAGTCAGCACAGGTACTGTAGATCAAAGTCAGGTATTCCTGCTTGCTCAGCAAGGACTTTACTGACTGAGTTGTTTTCTCAGCTCTCCACCATTTGTCTTTTTTAAAAAGACTGTCAAGTTTCACTGCCTGTTGGGGTTTGTCCTCACAACAGGATCTTAATATGTAGCCTGGGGTATCCTTGAACTTTGTCTGTAGACCAGGTTGGCCCCGAACTTAGCAATCTGCTTGCCTCTGCTGCTAGGACTAAAAGTGTGCACCACTATTGCATGTGAACACCATGAGATCCTGTCGTAAAAACAAAACAAATAACCCCAAATACTTATTAACTTGCAGATACCATACGTGAAACTTGATTTCTGGAGAATGACTACTTTGTTAAGTACATACATTTCCACATATTGGGAATAAAGACCAATGAAAATTCTCATAGCTGTGTTCAAAATACTTTAATTTTGTACTTATGAATAAGAATTCTGACATACTGATACTTTACCATAATGTTGATTGAAAGAGAAGTACTTGTGTAGTTGGTATGGTAAAAAGAGCACTGAATAGTTTAAGCTCAGTGTTTGTTATGGAAAGTGTCATGTCTAACTTGTAAAATATACACATATGTATTACACATGCATATGTATTATATATACATATCACATTTGGAAATACTTTGATATAGAATCTAATCAAAATTACAAAAACAGTTTTTTTCTTAACATATATCAGATTGTATCATAATAATTATATCATAATAATCATATTATATCATAATAATCAAGTTTCTTATTTTCATGTTTCCTAAAAAGAAAGTTGTGGCCGGGTGGTGGTGGTAGCGCACGCCTTTAATCCCAGCACTTGGGAGGCAGAGGCAGGTGGATTTCTGAGTTTGAGAGTTCGAGGCTAGCCTGGTCTACAGAGTGAGTTCCAGGACAGCCAGGGCTACACAGAGAAACCCTGTCTTGAAAAAACAAACAAACAAACAAACAAACAAAAACAAAAAAAAGAAAGAGTTGTGATGTTTTAATTTGTATGATTGAGAGAAGGACTGTAGTAATCATTCCATGAAAATGTTGTCAATCAAGAGAAAACAAGTCAGCTCTTGTAATAATATGTTAATACTACCTTTTAATTTTTTTTTTACAGTTACATGATGTTGATTGATGGCACAAATGAAGTTTTTATGATTGACAGAGATAATTCTGTTTTTCATGTTTCAAATCTGGAATTTCCATTTCGTAAAGATCTCCGAATGCATTTATCAAATACCCTTTTGGATGGGGTAAGTAATTTATGTATATGTGTGTTTTTTAAAAAAATTAAATAGTGCACTCTTAATTAGCATTACCTGTACTTACATTGAATTAATTGCTCTCTAATGCAGGATCTAGCTGAGAATGGTAGTGCACGCCTATAGTCCCAGCATGGTGTGGCAGCTGCAAAAGGTTTGCAGCAAGTTCAAGGCCATCCCGGGCTAGTATAATGAAATCTTGTCTCAAAAACAAAACAAACATACTCCAAATATTTATCCTTGAGTCCAAACAGCATTTTTCATATATTTTCTTTAGTAGAAAAAATTGTTCATGATATGGGAAATGAGTTAAAAAATTATAAGGGAACAAAATTAAATCTTTGTTTTTATTATTAAAAAGTAGCTATTTGTTTTTAATAATTATGAAGTGGCTTTTTAATTTCATTCCTGAAAATAGCTTTCTCCTATTTATATCTAACAAAAAGGGCTCTTTTAAATAAAAATTAATGTAGAATACTATAAAATGCCTGGTAAAAGTTGAGCACAGTGGAATATGATTTCAATTTTAACACTGGAGAAGCCGTAACAGGAATATAGCAAGTTCAAGGCTAGCCTAGGTTTTCTATTAAGTTCCAGGCTAGTCTGGCTTCATAGTAAGACTGTCTCTGAAAAAAATCAAACCAAACAATCAAAAACTAATAAAAAAATATAACTGAAACTCCTAATATTGGAATAACTCGTGTCTCTATTTGATGGCTGTCAGTGTGGACTTTGCTCAGTGCAGGGTGTTTAGTGTTGAAAAATACAGCACATTCGTCAGTAACATCGACTTTGAGAACTAAGTTTTCTTTTCTTTTTCTTTTTTTGATATAGGTTCTTATATAGATTGTCTAGTAGTCTAGGCTGATCTTGAGTTCAAGAATTCTCTGCTCTTGTTTCTTAAGTGGTAGTATTATGCATCTGTACCACCACAATGGGCTTCAGACTGTAGATTCTTAAACAGTTTGGTAGAAGCGTTGGGGAAGCTAGGAGCCTATTGTAGTCTCAGTATTTGAATAGTCACAGAGCCTTTAGCTTGGCTGGAAAAGTGCTCTGGTCAAGTATGTGCATGTGTAGATCATTCCTGATCTCTTCAGTTGCATAAAGAACTGAAAGCTGTACATGATTTTAAAAGTAACTTTACACTTAGCAGTTTCAGACTTATTATTTGAAATAAATGTCTGAATGATGTATCTGTATGTATAAATACCATAATTTTGGATTTCCAAATTGGTTTTGGATTTCCTGGGACTGGAGTCACAGGCAGTTGTGAAGTACCGTGCTGAGCACTGGGAGTCAAATCTGAGGTCTGCTCCTAAGCACCGCGTCGTCTTTTCAGCCACTTCAGACTGTTTGGTTGACAGAATCACAGGCTTGAAAATTGTTTAAATGGTATGCAAGATGGCTAAGTGGGGATGTCCTTTCTGTGCAGGTCTGGTCACTTGAATTCAATTCCTAGAAGGCGTATGAGGTGGAAAGAGAGAACCTAATCCACAGAGCTGACCTCAGACCTGCACACACATGCTGTGGCCCATGACCCCTCATAACATCATGCAAATACACAATAATAGTAAATTAGACCATAAAATGTAAACTAAAAAATTACTTGTTAAGGAAAGAACTAATAAAGAATAATTGGCAAATTCTAGGTTTAATTAAAAAATATTCATATACATTTATTTATTTGATAACTTATTGACTGAAGTTTGTATTTTTTAAAGAATGGCTACAATAGGCTCTCCTATAATAATATTTAAATCTTATACATATGTTAGTGTATTTATTCATTATGTAAATAGCAACAGGAGTAGCAACGAAGAATATGAACCTTTCCAGTTAGGTATTATGTAATAATCCCAGAACTCAGCAAGTTGAGGCAGGAGAATGGTAAGTTCAAGACCAGCCTGGACTACATTGTGAACCTATCCCCAGAATATCAAAGCCAGGATTGTTGTTGAGATTGCTCAGTGGATAAAGGCTGTTGCTGCCAAGTTTGATGACTTGAGTTCTATCCTAGAGAGAGCCACCTGGTTAGAGGGAACTGACCCCTGCAGTTTGTCTTCTGACCTCTGCATACATACTATAGCATGCATATAATCTTCCCCGTACATAAGCGAATATAATTAAACACACACACCCATACACACCCATATAATTAAACAAAATATAGTAAAACGAAACAAACATCTCTTGAATTGCAGTCTTCAAAAGTCAAAGTATATATATAAATGACCAAATGATTTTCATTAGACAAATGGAAAAATAATGATGAAATTTCTTTGGCTAGTTCTCTTTTGGTGGCAGTTTTTTTTTAAAGATATTTTTCTAAGCATAACTTAAATGTCCATCCTATGTATTCAAAATTACACAGTTTTATGCTAAAAATTTCTTTTTTATAGTACACTTTAAAAAATGTGTGCGTGTAGGTACATACATTCCATGCATGGCTTGTGAATGGAAGTCAGAGGACATCCTGGAGTTGGTTATCTCCTTCCATGTGGGTCCTGGAGACTGAATTCAGGTTGTCCAGTTTTATTTTCTCACTCACTGAGGAGGGTCAGATTGCTTTTAGGAATAGTATGTATAGCAACTCCAGGTGCTTCTCTGGCCCCACCAGCTCTCCCTTGAGGGGCGTAACACAGTTGACTCAGTTTTCTCCCCTGCCGAGGTGGGGAAGTTTCTAAGGTGATCCTGTCGGGCACTTAGTCCTTGTTTATGTGAGTAGCTATGAGGCCTGGCATCTCCTTCAGGAGTTACTGTTTCATTTTTAAGAGCTCCTGTTCAGGTCTTCTCTACAGTTTCCTTTTTGGCATTCATCTCTTTCCTGTTGGCTTACGAGGTCTTTTGTCTTACTGGGGCATACTTTATGTTACATATGTTCAAATACATTTTTCTTTTTTGTCTTTTCATCTACTATACAAAGTTTAAATATGTAGGTCAAATATAAGCATCTTGGTGCTCACTCTTTGACTTTGTGACATTTTAAAACACTATTCACCTCAGGATGATCATAATGCCTATATTTTTTTTAGTGTTTTATTTACATATTTGAGTATTTCATCCAGTCCAATTATGCAGTCTGTATGCAAACAGTACATGTATGTACCTTGGTAGAAGTGGTAAGGTATAGATGCTATTTTCTTATTTTTGAATAGATATGCTTCAATACCATTTAGCTAATCTGTTTTCACTTTTTGGTTGAGAATAAGTGTTTGTATCCATCATTACTTCAACATCTTCTCCCTTTCTCCCTTCCTCTGTTCTTCCCTTCCTTTCTTTCACAAGATCTGTAACCCAGGCTGTCCTCAACTCTGAGACCCTGCCTCTCCTAAGTACTGAGATTATGATGTGTACTACTATAGTAGGCTTCGACAGTTGCTTTCTTGTTCACTTACTTATTTCATTTATTTTTGTTTTTCTAGGGATTGTTTTATATACTTTAAATTCTATGAGTTTAGTATGGGGCCTGACAAGCCACATGTGTACCTAGCTCCCTTGCATGTTCTGATGTTTGCGGCTGAGATTTTACTAATTGTCTTTTGCGTGAACCAACTGTGCATATCAAAGTTAGAGTAGATACAGTATGCTGGTCTAGACAGCAGTAAACTTACATTTTTTTCTTCAGACAAATTCTGTGAGGCTTATCTTTGAACCTCTCATTTTCTTGGTTCCTTTGGTTCCTCATGGCTGATCTTCCTGCCATATCAGCACAGGGCAGTGCAAGGTAAAGAAAGTGAAATGCTTTGACATAAGAGCATTTCTTATAGGTTAGGGTAGTTTATATTTGTTGAGTATCAGTTATGAGTGCAGACATTTTTTAGAGTGTGGAGGCCTCCTGTCTCTGGAAACTATTGGGAAGGATAGAGAAAGATTGATAACAGCCTTTAAGTAAAACAGTAGCCCTAAGATGTATTTAAAACAAGTCCTGTGGTCATTGGAGGAGAAATGAATCTCATCTGATGATGTGGAGTAGATCTACCTTATGTGAGGTTTGGATTAAAGATGGAAGATATGGGGAATAGAGAGATGGTTCAGTGAGGAGAACTTGCTATACAGGAATGAGGACCTGAGTTTGTATCCCAAGCATCCATGTGAACCTGGTTGTGGCTAAGTGCTTGTAGCTCTAGGCCTGTGGTGGGCAGAAACAAAGGATCACAGGCTTGCTTGCTGGCAGCTTTCCTATCTACAGGTTCAGTGAGAGACCATATCTCAAGTGACTAGGTCTGAGAGTAAGACACCTGATGTCTTGTGAAGGCCAAAAGTCATTTTTATGTTTTATGTTATTTAGCTTATCAATACTATTTTTCTAGGACATACCTTTTATCTGCATCTTTTAGGTTTCAACTTATGACTATGTGCCTCATTATTAAATTTCCTCTTGTTTGCCAAATAAAAATAGCTTTCCTTTTCTTAGACTTATACTATATTTCTTATTTGGACTGTGGTAGTGTGGTATATACCTGTTACTATTATTATATAATATGTACAACATGTTTCACTCTCAGGCTTTAGTGACTTGAATAAAAAGTTCCCTGTCATTCTAATACTAGCCATCTCTCTCCTTCTGTGGCCCTGGTTAGTTACATCGAGCGTTTGAGTTCCTCTTACTGGGACTCAAACGGATTTGAAGTGAGTGACTGCATGTTTATTCCTTTATGACCTAGCCTAATTCATACTTTGTGTGCAGAAAATATGAATGAGTAGGCAGAGAAGTTAGATACCTTGGGACTTTGAATACAGATTATAGGAAGGTCAGCATTCTAGTATGTTGAGGATGTGGAGTATCATGAAAGATTAATGCTCGGATTTCTACACTGCAGCATTCAGCCCAAAAGACAACAGTGTGATTTCTGGGTAGTTTTTTTTTTTAAAAAATATTAAAAAAAGTATATGCACATGTATGTGAGGGTGTGCACACATGAGTCGAGTGCCCTCAGGACTATAAGAGGGTGTCATCTGATTCCCTGGAACTAGAGTTATTACCAGTTATAAACTGGCTTACATGGGTGCTACTACAACAGTGCAGGCTTTTTACAGCTGAGCTGTCTCTCTAGTCCTTTAATGAATTCTTGACAGAGCATGAAACTGATGTACCAGGTGGGATTTTCTCCTGAGTTCTTGAGAGGCTTGAGGTTGATGTGCCGTAGGTAGGGCTTTCTTCAGGGTTCTTGTACTTGGGAGTCATTGAGTTTCTTTTATTTGTAAATGTGTAATTTTCACTTCAAGTGGAGAAATGTTCATTATTGTTACAACTGTCCTCCTTTGGAGAGTCACTCATGCTTTTTCCCTTAGTGTTTTCTTTCAGATAGTTTTTCTTCATGTATTTTCTTTTTCCCTTCCTCACTACGTATCTCTGGCGTGCATCAAACTCACAGAGCTGCCTGCCTCTGCTTTCTGTGTGCCTCTTCCTATGTTTTCTGAATGTTTAGTGAGTTTTCTTCACCAAGTTGCTATTAATCCTAACCAGATTATTGAACTGTTGAAAATCTCTGATTCTTTGTCTTCTGTGTTTATCTTTCTGATCTTAAACAACAAAATCAGTTATACATGAATGAGACTGTCTTACTGTTCTGACATACTAACTTTTAATACCTTTGCCAGCTTTGAGTCTGTTTTATTTGGTTTATGTTGCATGCCTGATTGGATGTTAGATATTTAAGTTTTACCTTTTTGAAAAGGAGTAGTTATCTTTTTCTATCTCTATTCATCATCTTCCCTGTCTTCCTCTCCCTTTCCTCTCTTATTTATGTATATTCTTCTATCTCTTGAATTTCTGGCATTACAGACATAGACTACCATACCTAGTAGTGTGTTCTTTTAAGTTTTTAAAACTGTGTTTGGAATCTAGTTAATTTATTAGAAACTTATTTTTTCCAGAGCTAGATTTTAAGATTCTTTTGGCGAACCAGGTTTATTTTTTATTATTTCCTTGAGAATTTCACAAAAGATGTTTTGTCATAATCACCCTCTTCCCCAATCTTTACCCATCCAACTTTTTGTGTCTTTTTAAAAAACCTACTAAGTTATTTTTTATTATTCTTGGATGTGTGGTTTTCTACTAGAGTGTTGTCACTTACCAGGGGCTACACTCTTAGAGATGTTTCTTCCTGTCCTGGTGTCTAATATTTGCCAACAGCTCCATGGTTAGGGGTGGGATTTCATGCTTGCTTCTTCTCCATGCTGGTTTGGTTTTGTACAGGCCTTCTGCATATTGTTACAACTGCTCAGAATCTTGTCTGTTGAGCTGCCCTGCTGTGTTGAGAAAGGACTGTTTCCTTATAGTTATCCATCCACCTGTGGCTCATTCTGTCATTCTATTTAGGGTCATGTACCAGCCCGTTCTACCCCACATTTGGGGGCCACTCTGTTTGAGGGCTGCTGCTCTGGTCCGTGGGTCAGGGTCTAGCAAGAGAGAGTGGGGATGGAGGGGCAAGAGATGCGAAGAATGGAGACAAGACAGAGGGTCTGATCAAGTCTCTTTTACTGAAAGGAAACCATTGGTATATATATACTTTACCATGTGCCTTGCAGCTGTGGACAAGCAGGGGAACGCAGCTGAAGACACTTTACCACATACGCCCTGCAGCTGGGGGCATTAAACAACAAAACAAGATATGTGAGAAAACCATGATGTTTATCAGAGTGTGCTCAGCTGTTGTAGGCTGTTGAAAACAAGTTTCTTGTCAGGGTATATGGAGATGGCTGCAAAGACGATAGCCGCTTTCTGCTAGGAGTCAGCTCCCAACAGGATCAGAGTAACTTGTAATGTAAGGATGATTCACTTTATTGAAGTCATATTCTCAGTACCCAATGCTCCACCAATTATGAGCTCCCTCTCTTTCTTTCCCTCTCATTTTCTTCAAACCAGGGTGTCTCTGTAGCTCATTATCTTAGTTGCTGTTCTATTGCTGTGACGATGCACCATAACCAAGACAACTTATGAAAGAAGCATTTAATTGGGGGCTTGCTTACAGTTTCATTGGGTTAGTCCATGAACATCAGGGAGAAGAGAATGGCAGCAGGCAGGCAGGAACGGCACTAGAGCAGTAGTTGAGATGTCATATCTGATCCCTAAATTGTAGGCAGACAGAGAGTGAGACTGGACCTAGTGTGGGCTCAGAGCCCACCTCCAGTTACATACCTTCTCCAACAAGGCCACATCTCCCAATCATTCCCAAATAGTTCCACTCACTAGGGACCAAGTATTCAAACATAATGAGCCCTATGGGGGCCATTCTCATTCAAACCACCACACTCATTTTGGACTGGATCTCTTCATACCCCATCTTTCTGAGTGCTGGGATTACAAGCATGTGGTACTGTACTTGGCAACAGAAATTTTCTGATCTGTTTGATTTTAACAGGCATTGAGCTTGTACTTAACCACATATCAAGTGCTGTTACTGTTATGGCTCTTGGGTGGAACTTTGCTTGGCTTTGAGTTGTCTCCCCATATGCATATTTCAGGATCCTATTTACACATCTCTGGAGTTCTCATCTGAATGTCTCTCGTCTATGTTCTCATCTATGTTCTCTCTCTCCCTCTCCCTCTCCCTCTCCCTCTCCCTCTCCCTCTCCCTCTCTCTCTCTCTTCTTCTTTTCCTCCCTTCCAGTCTACTGAATAGAGATGCCTGGTGACTAGCCTTCAGTTCATGGCTGACCTTCAGTTTACTATGTAGACCAGGCAGACTTCAAACTTACAGAAATCCTGCTACCTCTGCCTCTTGAGTGCAATGTTCTTTAAGCATAAAGATATAATTATTTGGAAGGCAATTTGACATCATGTCCACTTGCAAATCACTATCAGTAGCTTTGGCCTCTCCTGGCGTATAGAACTGGATGTAAATACCCTCCCATGGGCGGGACCTCAGTTCCATTAGGAATGTGGTTGGCTACTTATATAACGTATTATTGCATCTGTGGGTACATCTTGCCTAGCCTCTCAGTACTGTTGCACAGAGAGTCAATAGCTGAGCAAGACCATGAGTAACAACTTTTCCTTCAGCCCAGTACCTTCCAGAGCTCTGCAGGTTAGCTAGCAGGCAAGAAGCTTCCAGCCCAGCTTAGCTTGTCTGTTGTATATTTTGGGCTGTCATTAAACAAACTAACAATACTTGCTTATTTGTCTATTATATTTTGTTTTGTTTATTGATAATATATTTTCCTTTTGGCAATTTAAACCGATGCTTACAGGAAAACTTTTTTCTTCATTTTTTTAAAACATAATTTGTGAGAATTCTTTGTCTGCTATGCAGAATTCACTTTTTCTAGTCACAGTGGTTGAAAAGAAGCATTAAATGAAATCATAGTGCCACCTTGTTATTGCATCAGGTATTCATATGAAAATGTTTAAATAAACACATTTCAATAAACAGGCTAAAATAACAAATTTGAGACTGAGGCTGTAGCTCAGTTGGTGGAGTACTTGGGTATCATGAACAAAACCCTGGTTCCATCGAGACTGCTGCATAAGTACAGCATTGTAGTGTACACTTGTAATCATAGCGCTGAGGAGGTGGATGGCTTTAAATCTCACTTTCCTGACTTTGTCCCCTAGATGCTGAGATTGCTTGTATTCCACTGTGCCTCATACAGAATTTCTTTTGACTTTTTAATAACTATAGTAGATTTGAAGTGATCTTAGTCAAAATTTAAAAAGTTATATAGGAAATTTAGTGTATAATAAGACTAAAGTAATCAGCATATAACAATTTTAAACAGTGATTAAACATAGTTATCAAAATGATGCTGAATTTCAGGATTAAAAATTTTGTTATTTACTTTAAAATATTGCTAGTAATCCAAACACAAAGCAAATGTAGTGTAGCCATTTAGCTATAAAGAACATGTAACTGGTTGTGATTGTGCAAGTATATAAGTCTAACACTTTTAAGGTTGAGGCATGAGGATTACTGAGAGTTCCAGACTAGCCTTAGCTACCTCATGAACTAGCTAGGGGCTACATAGCTAGGGGCTAGCCAGGGGCTACATAGCAAGACCCTGAGTCTGAACAAAACTACAAATCTCTAACCCAAAATACAAGGAGGTAACATCATAAATTATTTCATTATATATTGGAAATACATAGTAAAGATTTTTGACATTCTGAAAACATATTGATTTTATGAGTACAACTGTACGTGCTTTGAAGTCTCATCAAGACATATATTAAAGCTTTATACCTTTTCTCTGTGTGTATTATATGCTAATAAAGTGAAAAAATTTTTCTTTGAAGGAAATGATCATTGACAAAGTAAATGGACAGGCCGTTCCACGGTATCTGATATATGACATAATTAAGTTCAACGTAAGTACCTCTTATGCTTTATAACATTGTTAGACTTGTCACTGAGTTCATGTGCATGTTTATACTTATTAATACTTTTTTGTAGTTCTAGGTATTGAATTCATGGGTAGGCTAGACAAGTGCTCTACCATTGAGCTGTACCTCCAGTAATAAGATTACAGATGTTTGTAATGAACAGAAGAAGTATTTATGTCAGATATAGCGACACATGCCTGGAGGAGGGACAAGAGGGATCAAGGGTTTAAGGCCACCCTCATGAGATCCTGTCTCAAAAAACATAAATATAGTCATTTACTTAAACCATACTGAAACATATTAGGAATTTGGAACTAAAGTATTTAAGATTTGAAGATTTCCTTCAGTTTTATTTATCATTTAACTACAGAACCTAGCATATACAAAATGATCAGTTAAATTCTTTCTGAGGAAAATAACGAACAAAAGAACTAAGAAGATTGTAATTAAGACTTTGGCTCTCTTAGCAAAAATAACTTGAGCCAAATTAACTTTCTGACATTACAAATAACCCAGCCTCAGGTATTTAGGGCTAGCAATATAAATTAAGAAAGTTATAGAATTTATGAAAATTTTACAGGTATCTTAGTTTTCCTAATAGGCCTAATAAATTAGCAAGCCTATCATCTTAGGATTTCCTAAAATAGAGAGGGTCCTACATGGACTATGTTCTTGTTTATTAACTTTTCCTCAGTGAATATCCTTTGTGACAGTTCTGCCTGTTTGTAGAGAAACCTTCTTAGAAATTGTACTTCTACTCCTTTTGTTCTTAGTTGAGTGTAAAAGTTGTTATCTTTCAAAGCCAAGAGAAAGACATCCTGAAGCATATGCTGCCTGTCTTAGGAAATATTAGGTTGGATAATAGAGATTGGAGAAGAGGAACAAGAAGGTAGTGTCAGTATCACAGAATTTCTCAGTCGTCTCTAAGTCTTAGACAATTACCATCAACCAGGGATGTGTTTGAGCTATGTTTATGTGCACCATGTGGCTGGGTAGGACACAAGCGTACATACAATTCCCAAGGCAAGGCTAAAACTACATATGCTTGAAGGACAGTAAAGAAAATGTTTGCTGGAAGAAAAGAGCTGTGTAACTTGGAACAGATGTAAACTTACTATTAGTTTTCAGATTGAGGATGTGTTTATGTAGTAAATGTCTTCTTACTGATGTTAGGAAGTTTGATCACTGGTGAGTATGCTGTTTGCTTTGAATGTTTATACTTTAATAAATTTGGGTTTTAGGTTTTACTAATGTATAAATAAAAAAATATAGTAATCTTGTTAATATATTAATGTAGATTTGAAATCTCAGCCAGCTTAGATAGATACCATTTTCTCTTGTTGCCTTATGTAATTTCAATTTAAAAATGGCTATTGTTAGTCTAATTATTGGGATGTATGGTGTGCAAACTATTCACTAGACATCTCTAGGGATTGCTATTTGTATAACCTATAGCATATATTGCTGCAGCCTTAATAGTTATGCTGACATTGTAGTTGTGGTCAAATAAAAAAAACTTGTTCTTTCATTCAGGCACAACCAGTTGGAGACTGTGATTTTAATATTCGTCTACAGTGTATTGAACGTGAAATTATAAGTCCACGACATGAAAAAATGAAGACTGGACTCATTGACAAAACACAGGAACCATTTAGTGTCAGACCTAAACAATTTTTTGACATCAATATTTCAAGAAAGGTAAAATTTGTTTCTTTTGTTGGGAATTCCAAGTTTTATTGCTCAGCTTGTGAGAGGAACATGGATGATTACTACTCTGTTGCCCTGTTGTTCCTAGGGTGGTACTCAGGGTCTCCTTCTCAGTGTGGATATAATACCATTCAGGTTCCCTGTTCATTAGAATAGTTTGTGACTAATCACTGGTCCATATTCTCATTAAAACAAACAAACAAACAAAAAGCTACAATGTAAATGTAAGTCTTGGGGGTGTCACACCCACTCTTGCCTGTTCTTAGCTCCTAAATAAATGACACAGAGACCTGTTTTTTCTTTCTTTCTTTCTTTCTTTCTTCCTTTCTTTCTTTCTTTCTTTCTTTCTTTCTTTCTTTCTTTCTTTCTTTCTTTCTTTCTCTCTCTCTCTCTTTCTCTCTCTCTCTCTCCTTCCTTCCTCCCTCCCTCCCTCCCTTCCTTTCTCCCTCCTTCTTCCTTCCTT